GCCAGCCATCATACAAGGTGACAAAGAACCAGGTTTCTAAACGGCATATATTGAAACCTTCTAGAAATTGACCAGCCTCAACAAATCATTGCAATCGCGGAATCAAGGGACAAAGTGTTCATATTGTAGCGACCACGAGCGTGATTGTGTGGGATCGGACATACGTGTATGTGAACGGCTTATCGATTCGCCGACTAGCCGCGGGCGCTTTTCTTCATGTGCGCCGTATCTGTACACGTGCGTGTCGTACCTGCATTCCGGGAAAGCAATTAAACCGTTCAAAGAAAACGGGACTTCTCTGGACGGCTGGAGAATGTTCCCGAAAGGAGACATGAGAGTATAAAAAGGAAGAGACGATCGCCGAAGTGGAGTAGAAATAAATTGACTGTTTAACCGAAGGTGACTGCAAATTTCATTGGGATTCGGATTGTCAAACGGCATTTGACACTTTGGAGCAGGCTTTAATCACAGTCCCCGTACTGGTATATCCTCGGCCCAATGGAATGTTCATTTTGGACACCGACGACAGCAATGTGGGAATGGGAGCCGTTCTTTCGCAGTTACAAGACGGCCAAGAGAAGGTAATCGGCTATTTTAGCAAGACCTTATCCAAAGCAGAAAGAAACTACTGCGTCACTAGGCGAGAGATGCTGGCTGTAGTCAAAGGTGTAGAAGACTTTTATAAATATCTGAAAGGACGAAAATTCACCCTACGCACCGATCATTCAGCTTTAATGTGGCTTCTGAACTTCAAGAATCCGGAGGGCCAGGTAGCTCGATGGATTGAGAAGTTACAGGAATATGATTTTGACGTGGAGCAGCGGCCTGGAACCGGACACAAGAATGCCGATGCACTTTCCAGAAGATCTTGTCAAGCAGACTGCAAGCAGTGTAATCGAATGGAAAAGAAGAAAGAGGCAATTTGACCCGTCACGATCATCGATGACGAATGGTTACCTGAGCCGGACTTGAAGAAGATAATGGAATGGAAAAAAGACGGAAAACGGCCAACGTGGCAGCAAGTTTCTTCCTATACTCAAGTACTAAAATCGTTATGGGCTCAGTGGGATTCGATGGTATTGGAGGATGGCATTCTGAAGCGTGTTGTTGAAAGTCCAGATGGAGAGGAAGATAGGAAGCAACTGATTATTCCTCGAAACAAGGTTACAGTGGTGTTGCAGTATCTTCATGATGGATCATCTGGTGGCCATTTTGGAGTGAATAAGATGCTTGCGAAAGTTCGAGAGCGATTTTATTGGGTGAACTGTAAGGAAGATGTCAAGAATTGGTGTAAGAAGTGTACCACCTGTGCCGCGAGTAATGGACCACAGAAAAGGCCAAGGGCGCCAATGCGTCAATACAATGTCGGTGGCCCCTTCGACGGATGACGCAATATCTATTACCTGGTAACTAAAGGAAGATGCTCTGATAACCACACTTATAGAGACCTTTGGGACGCAGTAATAGAACTCCGCAGATATCTTCTGGTGATTGGAGGATCGTACGGAACATGATCGAAGTCCTGTTTCGCCTTACTGGAATAGACATTTTGGTTTGCAGTAATAACCCGAATCGGACCAATCATGAGAAGACCGTGGACTATTACTTCTATTCCTGGAGTGAATGTCGTGAAGGCGAGAATTGCAGATTCCGGCATGATCCTGCGAAACGGAAAGTAAAAATGTTTCGGGACGAAACATCCTTACGGAGGGGGCAGTGTAGCGACCACGAGCGTGATTGTGTGCGATCGGGCATGCGTGTGTGTGAGCGGCTTATCGATTCGCTGACTAGCCACGGGCGCCTTTCATTATGTGCTCCGTATCTGTAAACGTGTGTGTCGTACCTGCGTTTCGGGAAAGCAATTAAACCGTTCAAAGAAAACGAGACTTCTCTGGACGGCTGGAGAATGTTCCCGAAAGGAGGCGAGGGAGTATAAATAAAATAGACGATCGCCGAAGTGGAGTAGAAATAAATTGACCGTTGCAGAAGTGAATCAAGAGATAAATTGACAGTGATAGAAGTGAAATAAATAGAACAGTGAATAGTAACAGTAGTGTAAATAAATAGAATACTTACCTAAATTTAGTGATAATTTAATAGTGTTTTTAAACCCACGAACATTACAATATAATGGTGAACTGATAAATGATTAATAATAGACGTGTTAATTAGACAGCAAATAGTTATATAAAAGTAGTAATAGTAAAGGGAAGGGTTTGAAAACGTGACAAAATTGATATTTTCCAATACTTCGCCAACCCTGAATGATCCTGTAGTACAAATACATGGTTTTGATAATCTTAATGAGCTGTTGGCGGACGGTTTGCGTCCTTCACGAAGGTCCTTTAATTCTTTTCCGAAGTGCCTTTGTTGAACTACCTTAAATAACTGAGTTAAGGCGTTCGAAAGTTCTTCCACGGTAAGCCTTTTTGAATTATAGGATGGTTTTGCGTTCTAGTGCATTAGACGAATCTGCGTTGCACTTGGGTGTTAACGAGTTGGGTTTTAACTTCTGTTTCAATGATCAACGGTTTTTAATGATGTGCTGATATTGAGGCCAATTCATCATCATCATCATCATCATCATCGCGATTTCGCACACAGGAGATTAATTGGTTGTCAGTAAACCGTAGGTAGATACATGGTCTGTAAGCTTTCATTGAGGCATCACAGAAGCCATAAAGTTCTACTCGCACTGGAAGTTGAAAAATCACACGTCGAGGGACGATTATTTGATTTAAGGATTCATGTTGTTCATTAATATTGAAGCACTCGCTATGAGACTCTTGTGTTACGGATTAGTCCCATGATGATTTTAGCTGACAGACGTTGAAGCAGGATCTTTGATTGTATAGTAGCCGAGACGATGAGTCCAAGTGGATCGAAAATTTTGACAATTGTTGTCAATATTGTCCTCTTTATCCTTTCTAGTGGTGCACAGTCCACGGAAAATTGGAATACAGCTTTTTTGGGTCTTCATTGCACTGAAAGGATTTTTTGGTTGTTAGCTGAATGTAGAACCTTCCCTTGAATTTGGTTAGATTAACTGGCGATAGTAGATTCATTGAATAACCATTTTCACACTTCGAAAGCTGCTGCTGATGATACTGATGACACTTGTTTAAGTTCTTTTGTTTCTTTAATCGTCGTCACTCCTGTGAGAAGGTCATTGACGTAAAAATTGCGAATAATAGTTCGTGGTAGAGTGTCACTGTAGTCTTTCAGCAATTCGCAAGTAGTTACAGGTCGGCCCCAAGCGATTAACATTGTTTTAGGTAGATAAAAACAGTAAAACTGAGTCCTAGAGCGCGCCTATTTTAGTTTAGGATTCGAGTAACGAATACTTAACGTCAAAGAATTCCAATAATAATAAATAATAATTCGGATCAATATATCGGCAAGGGTTCTTGGCCTGTTTACTCGAAATCGCTGTTGTATGTTGTCATCTCTCAATCCATTGATGAACCAGTGGATTACCAACATTGCAGAATATCGTCGGGCGTATTTGCCTAGGCGAGACGAACAAGTTTTGCGATTTGTACTTCCTATTCCTTCAACCTCTCCTCTGTCTTCAGACGGTAGTTTCTTAGTTGGACGTGATAGACTAATGTCAAATGCGCTGTATCGCATTTCCAACCGTTTTACTAGCTGCCGGTAGTCTCCTAATTCGTGAGGTCGTAGTGTACTTAAAATTTCCCTAGCACTATCAAATAAGGCACAGATAAGTGCAGTGACTTTCTCCTTCGATGTATATATATTAATCCCTGCGGTTACTTAGAATCGTACAAGGAAACTAGTCTATGACATCTCCCCATCGAACTTCGTGGATACTTCCGATAACAGTGGATGCTGTTCATTTCCTCAATAACGATCGTGTTTTCCCGCTTTCATGGAAGTTAATTATCGATCTTGTCGGGTATAGTTGCTTTCACCAACTTTTCTTCTAGCATTTTCATCCGGAAATTCATCTCTTCAATTTGGCATTTTCCTTGAATCTTCATTTAATTTTTCTAACAAATTTCTGGAATTTTTATTTCATTTTGCTTCAAACTCCTCCAATACAATACATTTTCTTTCATTTTTCTTCTAAACCCTTTGCATTTTCACTTACTTTTCCTTCTTGTGATGAATTTCTATCGATATAATTTTTTTGCCGTTTCTTCTTCAAATAAAAAAGTCTCTGGATTGAAACCATTCAGCGTCAAAGCAACTTTCTACATCTACTTATCGCCGGTCGTATCTTCGTCCCGCTGTTTCAGTTCTTTTTTCAAATTAGTTACCTCTAAACTTTAAATCGGTGAATTTTCATTTCTTGTTCGATATCTTCAAACCTCACACCTGACACCAATTGTAACGAATTTTCTAGTGTTAATTTATTTGTTTAATGGTCATTCATTTTGCGCTTATTTATATTATACAGGACCACTAATAAGACACTTAAAATACTTCTCACTGTTTATACTACTGCTCAGCTGTCCAAATACCAACTTTTCTACAGCGCAGAGGGCTGTTGTTATCAAATTCATTATTATCATTGTTGTTGTTATTTTCACTGGTTAACTTTGAGCAAGTGAAGACTAGAACCTCTTTCACGTCTTTTAAAATACGATATGGAAACCAATTTACTTTTATTATATTTTTATAGTGCTAACAGTACTTCTTGCCCTGAAATATAACCGGTGATTATTAAGAACTCGGCTTTTTATTTAACACATTGTGTTATCTGAAAAAGAGGATATGTCAGTAGTGTTAAGAAATTTGCGTACTATTCCGCATGTATGAATTACTAATTTTTGTAGATTGACATACGTATGTGTATGCAGTTTCAACTTGGCCAAGCTAGCATGTAATGTTTTAGGTATAACGCCTATTGATGACATTATTAATGGAATAATTTGAACTGTGTTCTGATTCCATTTATTTTTATTTCATTAGCCAAACGAATATATTTTATGATTTAATTTATTTCCTATTCAACATTGTATATGATTATAACTTACATATTATCACCACAAGATGCAACTTTACCCATTCTTTTACACAAAGCAATATCATTGAGGGAATTTTTATAATTTTTAACTTGAAAAAGTTCTCTTCCAACTTCTTTGATATGAGTTGAAATTGCTATAAAGTAACCCAAAGCGAACCCCAACAAAATATATCCATCCCCGAACCACTTATAGCTCACAATGTTTCCATAATGTTGTTGAAATTCTAACTCTATCGGATTTTCTGTGTCAAAAAGACTATACAAATAAAGTGTTCTTTTACCAACTATTAAACTTATCTGAAACAATAAAAAACATAGACCACACCAATTTTCGGTATCTGTATCAATAGTAGAACTCACTGTGTTCTCTCCACCGATTCTTTTATCAACTTTCATTTCAGAAAATTGTACATTAGCAGGTTCTGCTCTTAACGAAATTATTTTTAATGTATCTCCATCGGCATTACTTAATGACAACGTTTTATCTTCAGATCCTAAAATAAGTATTTTGTCTGCATTCCATCCTCCACAAGTTATTTCCTTAGAATGTTTCCCTATTATAGGAGTACACCTACAACGAAAAAATGGAATAATTTTAAATTTGTTAACCACTTACTTTCTGTTTATAATGTTGCATGCAACTTTTATTGCACCTTGTCTATTAGGTAAAAAAAATATATAATAAAATGTTAAAGTACTTGATATATACTAATCTCTTTCAACCGGCCAGCTGCCTAGTTAACTAATTCCTAAGGCTACAATTCAAAGAAAGGTAGTGCTGAAACGCTATTGTTAAATTGTAATTACTCTCCGTAAGGATAATTATGAAACATATTAATAAATGAAAGAAAATTTTAATGTTTCAAAAAAACATTTGCAAAAAAATTTATAAAGAATTTTATACTCTATAACTTTTATAATAGATGCAAATGTCATTGAAATTGAAATATTTGCGAAAAATCGATTTTGATGACTTTTGACCTTGAATATCTTAAGATTTTATGTGACTTGACATCAACATTTACAATGTCAAAATAAATATTTATACAAGTTAACAGCTTATTATTTGTCATTCCGCGTGAATCCCCCATTATGATTGGACTATAAATAATTATATTATTCGGTAAACTTTGACGAGATATGGACCAAAATAGGTAAAAACAATAAATAAATGCATAGTTGACCTATTTAAAGGGATTATCTAAAATACGTGTTTACCATATTAACCTTCAAAATTTTTATCTAATATCTGGTAACACTAACTGTAAGATAGCACAACTAAAACTAACTATAAAATCAATAAAAGTTCGAGTCTCATTCATAAATCCGTTTCACTCAAAATTAGGTTTCTTTTAATGTCTAGTTTTTTCAAATAGTAGTTTCGTTCAGAATCTCTTGTTTCGATTTCGAGAAGGGTTTCTTTTGTGCCTATGCGTAAAAATAGTGTTATGGATGGCACTGTAATAAATCTCAAGATTAAATGTGTACACAAATTGGTCAGGGTTGACAGCATGAAGAGTTCCGTGTATGTTTTCCAGTTTTAAAAAATAGTTAAATTCAAAATTCTGTAGATGTGCTTGATGCAAATATATTATAAGCAACAGTAGAAGGTTTACAAGGTGAAGTAGCATCTGGAACAAAATGTTTAACGAATTTTTGTGACTTTCGTATCGGTCTTAACTTTTGTTTATGATAACTTTTACCTATCTGCGTTATTATTTTATTCTTTAAATCTTGTTCTACCTTTTCCAATCTATTTCGCGGTGCTATTTTGTTTCGTTCGCCTTGTTTTAAATAAACGGTTCTACGAAACCTTTACGCTTTTTAATTTTCCTATCCATGTAAGTTTGTTTAACCTGTTCCTCACTTTTTCTTACAATATCATAAAATTTTTTAACTTTCTCGTATACCTCGCTTGTATACTCGAAATAAAATCTGTCATCAAAGACATCAATTAAGTCTTTATTTTCAAGGTGTCCGTATAAAAGTTCAATTGGTATAAATTTAGTTTGGGAGTGTATCGATCTATTGTAAATAATAACTGCATTCTGGAAATTTTGATTCATAAGAATTTTATTTCTACTTGCGCTAGTTATTCTCATTATCTCCAAAATTGTACTATGTACTCTCTCTATTATACCGTTGCTGTTCTGGTGTAAAGGTGTTATTAAATGATGATCATGAGCATGTGCATTCATTCTGAAAATAATGAATTATCAAACTGATTGTCGTTAATGAGGATTCGGGACATATTATACCGTGTGAAAAGATTAATCAATGCGTCTGCTATGTTGGGTATATTAATTGACATGAGTGATTTGTACATAAAATATTTCGTAAAAGAGTCTATTACCGTTAAATAATTTTTTCCGTTTACCGAAAAAATATCAACGTGTACTGTTCCAAAAGATTCATTAGGTGTACCAGTTGTTTTAAGTTTGTATTACACTGGATTTCGCTCATGCTTAGCCATTTGACATATCTTACATTCACCTATAAATTTTTGGCAATCTTTACCTAAATTCGGTCAATAATACGCCCTTCTAATTTCTGCATATCATTCCTGCGATACCCGATGGTTACTTGTGTGTAAGGTATTCATTACACCACGCTGAGTTCTAATGTCGTCTATGTCCTTTAATACTTTATTTGTATACTGAAATTTTATTGAGTTGTCGAAATTTCGGGTAATAATTGGCGATAAATATTTATAAGTTCCTCTGATTGTGCTGAAATTCCATTTATAATGTTCGGGTTTGCATATTCTTTTAATACGTTATTTATTTCATTTTCGAAGTTTTGTTCTGTTATATGAATGAGATAATTTGTATTGTTAAAATACGGGTTTTTATGTAACAACGCTTCACTATTAAATACAGAATTTAATTGCACTTTAAACTGATTCAGAAGCTTGTCAGTAATTGATATTGTCGCTTGTGTATTCTCCGCCTGAGAATGTTGAGTTACAGTGGATTGATTTTCGGATGTTCTTGGTAAAGAAATGAGATCAAAGTTATCGTTTCCTATACAGTGTGGTCTAACTTGAATGTCCGAAATTACTTTCATTTTTTTTGGCTTCCTAGCTGATGTTGTCCCTCTCTTTTCTAACGATATAGAATGTTTTAGCGGTATTAACTTATCAAGTTCATCTATATCTAAAAATTCACGTTGCGCTATGTCTCCTGGGTTATTAAACAGCGATAGAAGATCGTATTTCATTGTGTTAGTTTTACCTCTTTTATACATAATATCGTAATCAAACTCTTCTAGTTTTAATTTCTATCATACTAATTTTGTTTGTTATTATATTTGTTACTATATTGAACTTGAGACCGTAGCTATATTGTCTAAATGTTTTGGTAGCCCATATTATAGCTAAGCACTCCTTTTTGGTTACAATGTAATTAACTTCGTGTTTATTAAGTGTTTTACTCGCGTACATAATCGGTTTGTCAGGGCCAATAGGTCCTTGTGACAAAACTGCGTTTATTCCTACGTTTGATGCATCCGTTGTAACATTAAATGGTTTCGAAGTCTGGATAATTTCAAAATTTTGGTAGTCACATCCATTCTCTTGTGCTCAATCGCTGTCGCTATTTGAAACATTCTCATCTGTTGAAACACTATATTCATCTACATTTTGACTATCGTATTTGAGTTGTTCTGATAATTAGGAGCTCTATTTTGTGATGTATTATTGCTATTGCCATTTAAGTTTACTCTCCCTGAAGTGTCATTTCTTCTTTGAATATTTGCATTATTAACGCCAGTTGAAGGTTTTGGATAAAAATTTGACAGTTGTCTGTCATATCTATTAAATGGATTCGTTTTATTCGGCAAATTGGGTGGTCTTGGTAAATTTGGTACTCTACTAGGGTTATTATTTGAATTAGGTCGTGGAAAATTACTTGATGAAGAATTTGAACACTTTTGGTAGTTGTCAGGAGGTTTAGTAATGTAATTTAAAATAGTTGCGTTAGCTTGTAACCATGTTTCGTTGTTTTTACCTCTAATATGATTTGCAATATAGGAGGACAACTGTTGTACAATATCTTTAATGCTGCAGACCTTTTGATGACTTGCTGCGGTAGTTAATTTTCCTCTTTTCGGGATTATCACTGCAGACTTTTTTGGACTTACGCTGCCCTCAGTTTTCGAGTATTCTTTTATTGTAGACATTAGTCTCTAGGGTGATGAACTTACGCCTTTCGTGTCCTAGGAGCCATTGTGGATGTCGGATTCGCATTTCACTGAACTTTCACAGTATTTTGGCACGAGATCTGGATCCCAATATTGCGCTTTTAACTGATAATTTTCCAAAAGTTGTTCCTTGTTTTCCGCACTTTTCCACATCCATCACAACTATTGAAACACCCTCTGACCCCACATTCCTCCCTGTCCCCCACCATCAATTCCCAGACATTCTTGACATTTTCGTCACGAAAAAATGTTACACCTTCCGCCGATCCTATCATCTTAGCCGCATTAAGTTCGGACCACCTTCCAGCCCTTATTGAATTCGGCCGCCCAATCCTCAACCCCCAAACCCAACCACGTCACTAGATTGGTTTCACCTTCGTTACACCCTTCAAACATCTTCATTCAAGTGCACTCCAATTCGCACAACAGCGGAAATTGACGAAGCTGTGAATCTCCTGTCAAACGAGATTACCAGCGCAATCGATCTCTCCACTACCTCTCCCCCAACGCTCACCAAAGACAGAACCCTCCCAGCAGACATTCTTGACCTCCTTAAGAGGAAAAACAAGGCCCGACATCTGTGGAATAGACACCGCATCCCCGCCCACCGTGCAGAGGTAAACGCCCTTCAACAAGAACTAAAAACTCGTCTCACCGAATTCCGCAGCGCATCCTTCGACGAATATATCGTTCAGGCAGAAACACACCCCCGAAGCACTTGGAAAGTGATCCGTTCTCTTCGTAACAGAGCTCTCCAATATCCGCCACTAAAACAGAACTGCTCCACCTATTCTTCAGAAGAAGAAAAAGCTGCAATCTTCGCAGACTCTTTATGTCTCCAGTGGATTTTGCCGACTTTCACGAGCGTACCAAAGCCGTCTCCCAGAACTTCGTTCCCCTGAATTCCGACTTCAAACACACGTCCCCACGCGAAATCTTTCCCATTATCCGATCTCTGAAAAAGAGAAAAGCCCCTGGCGCTGACGGAATTGCTAACGGAGTCCTTAAAGCCCTGCCACCAAAGCACATAACCGCACTGTGCAACATCACAAACGCCATCATGCGGCTCCACCACTTTCCTTTGGTCTGGAAAGAAGCCACTGTCATCTGTCTCCCCAAAAAAGGGAAGCCGCTCAGCTCTCCCTCAAGCTACAGGCCCATCAGCCTGCTCAGTTCGCTGAGCAAAGTAGTAGAATCCGTCCTTCTCGCTCGGCTCTTAGACCACGTGGAGCAAAACAACCTTCTCCCTGATTTTCAACACGGTTTCCGCAGGCAACACGGCACCGG